AATAATAATAATAATGAGTGGTTTACAAACGCATATTAACGCAAATAAAACCAGAATTCATTGGCGGTGAATTTTTACTTTCAATACAGATTAACTTTAGGGGGGGTATTCCGAATAAAGACCTAAAACATAGAAATATCCCAATACCATATCACAGCAAGCATCATTCACTTTATGAAAGTAAGAACTCTCCATAGAATGCTGAAATTAGATATACAGTGACCAGTCAAAAATTATTTTTATAGTACTTTAAGCCATTGTATAAACTTTAAGTTACCTGTAAGAGATGTGATCCCAATTCCCGGCCCACATTGTCCAAAGAACTTGTACGGCTTGGGTGACCCCAAGCTTCCCCTAGTCCTAAAATTAGAAATAATTAATCAGTAAAATCATCACGCAGTTGTGAAAAAACAGAATAAACTACTTCGACTGTAAACATTTAGCTCAGCATCTTTACAAAGGATACTTATTAATTGCACAGCACCTGTTGAGGTAACATTAAAGACATTCCTGAAACTTAGTACTATTCGTTACGAGATCCTTCCATTGGCTTCCGGCTATAATTTCAGACAGTCTTATTACTTAATACAGATTTTATTTAAATGTCCGTATTTGGGGCGTTTGTACGCGTTATACGAGCAGTATACTACATATTGTAAGCTTAGGAGCAAAAGTCGATAGGTTTACAATATAAAGAATTAAAAACTTTAACACATAGATCATTTCATTGAGATTTTAGCCTATATCCCTATTTTACAATCAGGAGAAAGCCAGGAAATTCGATAAAGTAAATAAGAGTTGCTTTACTGAAATCCTGATTGAAATGCAAATCATACAAAAACAAACATACACTGGACGAAGATCAAAGCAAACTATGGTTTCCCATTTTGATATTAACCAAATATGCACTTCGCGTTTACATAACAGAAACAACAAAAACATCCCCTATCGGCTAATCGAACACACGGGACTCGGGAAACTCCAATAAAGGTGACAATTCCAGTTTCTAAAGCAATTGACGATTGATGAAAAACACAGCTTCAATTCGTCATGTACTGTATGTGATAACTAACATGGCGTTTAGAGTTATTCAGTATAAAAGCCTAACAGTAACAATCGTCCTTTTCACTTTGAACATCGCTGTCTCGTTAATTATACTGGGGGGAAAAAAGTATTTTAAAGTAAAATGACTTTCCATGAATACAAGAGAAGGTCCTGTAATGTGTAACCCGTGAAATGTAAGAGATGACAATATTTGATTGCACAAACTTCTTTACGTCTATTACTGTTCCTCCCCAATATATTATAGTGTTAGGAAGTACTGCATACCACCGAATTCGAGTTCTTCCTAAATAATAGAAGACATCCATAATATATTAAGAGCTACGGCTGCAAACCCCCTGCTCTACTTCAGGAAAACGTTTTTTTCCCCAACCTATGTTCGTCCACAAAAAGTTTAATTAATATAGTTCGTTAGGTGTAAACATTATCTTACATGCCACAAAAGGTCGGCTCGTCTGTTCTGTGTGATAATCTGCAAGAGTACTAAGATTTAGCTTTGGTTTTGCACTTGACCTACCGCGGGGAGAAAACGAATGCTTCACATCAGTCTGCTTAAATAAGGACAAAATACGCGTTGCCTTGAAATGCATTAGATTAGAAATAAGATCTAAAGATACTCTTGCAATTTGAAGAGGTCTAAACGCAGGAAAGTGCCTTTCAAATGAAAAGAGTAGCTGTTGAAACTAAGAAGAATAATTGAATCTTTTTTCAAAAGGATTTTTTTCAATTGCTTACAGGACTAGGGAAAACATCTCTCTGGTTAACGTATTACTGTTTTTGGAAAGGTTCCCAGTTACTTGGAAAATCAACTTTAAAATTGCTACAACCGATTAACTGAAATCGCTACCATGTTCACGTAAACCTTAGCCTTTAAACAGATGGCTAATATAATACTAACGAGCATTGAAATACTAAGCATTTACATTTATAGTAAAATAAATCTAATAAAATAAAAAGAAAAAGTAAGAATATATTCCTAAATATTATAAAAAGTGTTCTTTCTGTAAATAAAAATTAAAACAAGGTCCTCGTTTAAAATGCAAATAACGATCTCCTCAAGAAACTATTTTATAAAGGTGAATATTCAAATATACAGCATAATATTATAAATAATATTAACTAATTCATTATTATGGGTGATATGATAATTATCTTTTCGTGTGTATCAACACTGGCATAAGCAACACTCACTTTGAGATGTATGATTTTGTAAAAATACTCTAACCTACTCATGAAAACACGCATTTATAGTTCTTGCAACTAATCTTACACAGACAAAGGATAGCTCTCTGACTATCCGATTTCACCGTCTTCCAGTGAGTTGAACTAAATTAAACTTCCTCAGAGTTAAAAAAAGCAATAAAACATGGTATCTTTTACGCTGCAGGAAGAAAGCTATGAGTAATATACTTGGTACATCAAACGTGACATTGCATTTTATTGTATAAAAGCGATGTTGGCAGTATTAGTTATAGTAAGAAAACGATGGTAATGGATTAATGTAAAACAAACGGTTCTTCATAACAGGAATTATGAAGCTCTTCTAAAGGGCCTACTACTCGAACCACATACAGTAGCACCTCACAATATAGCTCTTTATCCCTGGAAATCTGTTTTAAGTGTACATTTATTTCTAACCAATTACTGCGTTTTCTAATTCTCCAAATAACTCCAAAGTTATTTTTTATCAAACTTAGTTGGGATGTTTTTATAATTATTGCTTGTATTATTTTTATTGCTGTTTTGTATTTATCACTTCTGTGCATAACCGTTAAATGAAAATATTCTCATTAAAATACGCAGCACAATGACATGTTTTTATACTTAAACCTATTTATTTCTAAATTAACATGGCATAATAAAATTGTATTATATTTACTCTGTATCTATAATTACTTCTATAATTATATTCCACTGTACATTCCAAATGTAATGTGAAATAAAAAGTACATATCAGTCGCATTAAAACACGATGTTAAACTGTATAATAGTGTTTAGGAATTACGTATTAGTGAGAAAACGTTTTGTCCTTTTCGGCAGTCTATCTGCACTCCCTTGTTAAAATCTTTGACTTTATCGGTTCTTCCATTTTTTAGGGCACATACGGCAAGATAGAGCTGTTTGCCGGGATTAAGTTCAAACCTAATTCTTCTAAATTACTCTAAAAAAAGAAAGTGACGCGTGAAAGAAGCTAAATGAGAAAAACTTGTGGAAGAAAAATAAACAGTGAAACCTAACACTCAATCACTTTAGAAAAACAGCAGAGAAAACATCAAATCAGGAGCTCGGGTGGGAACGATTTCTAGACCAGACTATAAAACTAAATATTGCAAGAACAATCTTTTTTTTCATTATAATATCTGAAATGCTGTAAACGTGTTCAGTACTTTTGAACATTGCTATCATTGTTGATGATCAAGTGTTTACAATGTACGAAAAAGGGAAGTGTTTACAACCAATGTACGGAAGAGAAGTGTGGAATTCTCGCTCAGGAAGATTGTTTAAAAAAACAACAGTTAACCCGACGTTATAACGTTGCTATATTTCTTGCTTTCATGTATTTTGTGTTTGCAACTTGACACTAATGTCCATTTAACACTCTCAAACAATTAAATGTTCACTTAATACGTGAATATGTAACAGATAATAAAGTACAGATACAGATATAACGAAGGTATTGAACACATATGTGTATACAATATGCAGATGTAATTAACAGATTCTTAAACCAAATTTAGCTCCACAAATATTTTCGTTTTGTAGGCCAAACATGCGAGAACTCACCCATGAAAAGTCTTCAACATAAATGCATTTCAATACATTCTAAACAGCTAATCAGATTAAAAAGCATATACAAGATAAAATATCCATATGTTGTATGCAAGTACATACCAGTTTCACTTTGCATTTACAATTTCCGATACGAATCGATACATTATTCAAGATTTGGGGATTCAATTCTTTTACAGTCTGACATGCAAACGCTGAATTCGGACCTTTAACTTTAGTAACTGGCGACTTGGATCCGCCATTCCTTCTCCATCAAACTTACTCATATCTCTACAAGCAACACCATATGCTATTTCTGATCAAACATCGAGCCACACAGGCACCAATAATTGGCAAGACCTACTTGCAACCACGCTGAAAAGTAGCCCATTGAGACTGGAAGAGGTGGCAAATGATTGCTAATAAACCTTTTTAGGAGCATCACAGTCATCATTGCAAATGATAGGCTCATTTTGACAGCAAAGAACATCATAAAGCAATGCCATCAAATAAGTCTCACTACTGATTTAAATGAAGCCAGCCATTAACATTAAAATGCTCTCTGCTTTTTGTTTTCTTAGTAGAGCTGATAATGTCAACATATTTACAAATAGCCTATTTCTGATTCGGTCGCGGTTGTACCTATATGTGTTTTCAATGGCCTACCGCAGCATCAACTCTGAAATTGAAAATCGTTAAAACACATATTGTTATTATACATACTGCCATACTTGCAGTGAGCGCCTGTCTTGATAAATTTCAACGCGTAACCTCGACGGTTTAGAATTATACAATGATGCAGCTAAACAGGACGAAACCGATATACTCCTCACCAGATACGCTTATTTTAAAAAACAATAAAATTAAACTCTTTCTGGTGTTTTAAACTTTGTGTTAACACAGAAAATCAACTACTAGTTCAAAAACAAAGAATTACCGCTAATTTAAAATCAGGGCAGACCATTTCCATGACACATTCCCTTACACTATATTCTTCCTATATGTATTTTTGTTTCCATAATTCCACAAAATACTTTGATTTTAGTAAACTTACCTTCGGGAAAAACGATTCTCATCTTTAAGTAGCTGGTTGTGAGCCTTATTATAGACGCTTTGTCTAGTTGGGATGTGATGGCTGATGGCAGAGGCAACAGTTTTGCCAGTTCGTAGAATTCACTGTTTTCTTTTTCCCGTCTTGTCCGGGCAGCATTTTTGGACTTTTCCTTCATTTTTTTCAGTTTATTTAATATATAACCTCTATTCGACCCTTGTCCTGCTTCAATGTACTGACAGGTCCGCCAGAAGACAATAAATACAGATTTATAGCTAACTCATTTTAACAAGAAATATTCTAGTTGTATTGAGTGGTGCTAGAAGGATATTTTTTACGGACTGTACCTGCAATGTATATCTAGGTATCTAGGTTCTGATCGATAATTTAAACTAAATCCAAAACGGGTCAGAAGAGCCTCGGGTCCAAAGTCACTTGTAGGCCAGTGTGGAAAATGGTGAACTTCTTGTCCCGTTTTCATGCTGGGAGAACAGGTGAAGCCATAATCCATTTATTTTACTTCACAATTTTAAGGCCAGGCATCTCTTTTTCCTTTACTGACAAATGTTGAAGTCCTCCATAGCGTTCTTGAAAACAATAACACGTTCCACTGGGAAAGAAAGCAATATGTTACAAATTATCCATCCAATATTTTACGGTTATACAGTTATTAGTTTTACAACGTCAAACCAGTGTGAGGCATCGTCAGGGTTTGGAGTGCATTTACACCATAGGCTCATGGTCAAAATAATTAATACAAATGTGCACGTGCATTCTAGCTCACACCAGTGCATACACACGAATGGAAATATTATTTTGTTCAGTATCTGAGAACCAAACTCCACACGTAGCAGTTTTAACAAATTAGCTGACGTATTTAACGCTAGTCGCGCACCCCACCGTTGTATTAACACGGATTTAGACAGGCTTGTGCAATAACTTACCTCAATTCACAGCAGGGAGGACTCTAACTTCCATTTTCATTCAGTCCAGGACAATTTAACTACTCTTTGACCCACTTCACTTCTCGCACCTTCTTTATTTTGAAGTCTTCGCAGAATTCCACCTGAGAGAGCAGGAGGAGCTGTTATTGAATACACATCTCTAATTTAGGGATGTGAGTGTCTAAACTAGTTTCCACCCCCTCCTCTCTTCCAAACTCTCAATCTTTCCTGATCTACCTAAGTCCTGCCCATCTCCAATCTTTGTCATAATCACCGCTGCTCTTATTGGGCAGCGAGTGTTGTGGTCGGTTTGGCTATTGGGCGGTTTTAACACCATCGTATCCGCGCTAGAAGTGAAACCGGGATTTCTCAGAAATACTAACCTCTGACCTTCACAGAAAGCAACGTGAAGAAAATTAGGCAGCTACGACGTACTTTAAAGTTGCCTATTCTATGTTTATACAGTTAAAAGCATACAAAACCAAACGGGCCGCATTCTATTTTCAGTGTGCTTGCTTTGTTTGAAAATTACTTTATGTAATTTAGGTTACATAAAGTACCTGGCTGCAAGGCTTGTACAGTGTTTAATAACTGTATTCCAGAAATCTTAGGGCATCTCACATTTTATAATACTTAAGTATAAGTATGTTGACGAGTCGGGAACTAAATAACCTTTTTTTTTGGTTTGTGCTTTCCGGTGTTTAGTTCTATGATTTACATAAACTTTAAAAATGAGAGAAACATGATTTCAATGTATAAATGTCAAGTGTAACACTGTGCTTATTTGGATTTCATTCCAATTTTTCCCTAATAGGTAAAAGTTAACATGAATAAGTGGCGGATAACTGTACTGCAAGCAGAGCTGACATCATCTTGAGTCTCTCCCAGGGATGTCTGTTCTTCTGCTTCTGAAGATTTAAACACAACAAACTGGCACCAGTCAGTAGCCGCGGTTTCCTCAGAAGGATCTCGCCCGCAATGTACCGGCATATATGTTGTTTCATGAATTTATTCCTTATTTAAAAAAAATACATGTTATATAAATATAACCTATTAAGCTACGCTGGTATAATTGAAGTGGTGGTTCACTTGTTTCCATTCAACCTGTGCGAACACTTTTAAAAAGCTCACGGTTCCCAAGACGTCTAAAAGAAGACAAAAGCATCATACTTTTTTAAATTATTGTAAAACTGTGTAAGTTCTGAAACGTTTAATGTATTTACATAAAAATTCCAGGCGATGTAACGTTTTTATTGCATTACTGTAATGTGGAACATTATTGTTAAATATTCTTGATTATTCTAGGTTTTTTAGGAACTCGACATAAACAGATGAATGACTCACAGGAAAATCACATTTATGAAGAAAAGATGCATAATGTTAAATTCAATACTAACTGAAAAGTTTTTACCGTGTCACTTTTTTTTCTACTTTTTGATTGTCAGTCAACTGTTAAAGGCACTATTTGAATAATCTTAACATAATGAAGCGAATGAAGGTGAATACTTTCGTTATGATTACTTCAGTGATTAGAACAGTGGAGAGCTGAGACACGTGGAAGGACTTACCTGAAAATTGTGATTTCAATAATCCTTTTGTTTTTACTTTGACTTCATTCGATGATTTCTAATGTCAACCTAAAAAAAAACTATGCATATAAATGATACCGAATAAATGAAACGCTGAAACGAAATAGCCTCAGTGCGAGTGGTCAGCAACTGGGGTAATTTTAAGACTAATGACAGTGATGTTTTCTCATTTGCTCGGACCTGCATTTTACTTAAGTAAATGTTTGTTGTACTTTATTTTCCCCCCTCACAGATCCCGTTTTTTTTCAACACAGAACCGTTTATGTTCATGTAATGAAAATTCGGAAATATCTTTCATTTATTTTAAGACATATTCCATTATACATCATACACATTCGCACTGCACAAATACTTGTTTGGCTGTATATACTTCACAAGTCCTTGAATCCTATTTTTTATGTGGCCATTTTTCTCTGAATCAGACAAGAATGAATTCCCTTTTTAATATGATATCCACCTGCAGTGATGTAAAAATAGAAAATTAGTTATGAAGCATAACGTGCACGAAATAGCTGCTGCTGGTTTAACCTTTTAGTAAAGCCAGAATGTCTTGTTAATTAGGGAGTGTCGCTGGAAAAGAGAACAATTGAAAATTTTCCATATTATGAAATTGCCAGAAAGGAGTTTAAGATGATGTTAAAACAAAAATGATTTACGCTAAGACTGCCAATTAACTGCTGGGAAGTCTATCTTATAGATTTTCTTAATTATTGTTAATAGAAAATAATTAACTGAGATCAGACTATTTCAAAAGATCGTATAAACAAGAAGATTGAAGTGCGAAGAGAACAATAAAATAAATGCCAGCTTGTTCTTTAATATAGCCTATGTTACGTTTCATAACACAAACATCTGTAAATATGGTACTTAATTAATAATTGTTCAATTTTTTGTTAATGTTCGTTGGTAATTAAATACAGAATTTTGTTTGTCCGACTTATTATACTCGCTTATTGATTTTATTAGTGTTCATATAGCGTAACACACGACGTTTGTAAAGGAAAGGTTTCTTGATTTCTCATAGTAAACGTTACACTGTTTTGAAGAAAGCTATGGCTTGCTTCTAGCAAGCATGCTGCTCCTTGAAATTGACCATCTGACCTTTTATAATGTGCCAACGTATTAATATGCAATTGTGAAAGGAAATCAGATGCCGTACTCTATTTTACCGATGTGGCAGTTGGATTTTTCCTCAGACTTGAAAACATTTATTTCAATATGGGTTATTCTAAAATATCCACAATGTTTTATGTTTAATTTTTATACGCTGTGGAAGTAATACATGCGTATTTGTTTTAGAAAAAAATAGTTTCACGATTGTGGTGAAAATATAATTTTTATAACCGATTACATGAATCACCATGAAAGGAGTAAAGGGAAGCGAGGAGCGTTCGGAAGCGGTATCTTTCAGCCCCGCCCCACCCCCAGGAGACAGTGTAGTCTACATTTAATGCAGCGTTCATACACATTCAAATCGGACCGACAGGTCATTACGTGACAATATACTCTCTTTTAAACCCTTTTAAGTTAGTTAATTGGTGATGATCCCACGTCACTATATTATTTGAATGATTTAAAGTCTAAATAAATATATATATGAGTAGCAGAACCCTTCCATTCCACGTAATGTGGAAGGGCTTTCCCACTTCATATGCTAATGAAAAATAACGCTCATCACACAGGCGTTGAATACGGAATACAGAATTTCATACATACTCTGGTATCTATCTTCCGTGCAAGAATATAGCCTCTACTTACACACACGCCTTTTGTTTTTCTGAATGGTCTGCACTCTTGATAAAGCCTAATGCCAATTTGTTTTTTCTTAACCCAGTGTCTTACTCTCCGTGTGTGTTCTACGGTGATTTGCGGGTAGTTTAATAGCAGTTTAAGATCCGTTTGACCGGTTGAAAAAAAAAGTAAACATTATTTTTTATGTATATCATAATGTTATGATGTCTATAAAATTAAGATTGGTTCATCTTTACTTCAAGACTACGTTTAAGATATAAATCAATTGAAGATATATCAAAACAATATTATTTTGTGATATGAATTTGAAATATATGAAATATTTGTCTTAAAATGAACAGGTAATACATTTTGGGGTTAAAAAGATCAGATTCGGAAATATTATTTTTTTAAATACTTTGTTATTCATAATGTCTTACGAATTAAACCTCTAGACCGAAATTAATCTTAAATCTTTTTCAGATTATTTTAGATACAACAAAATTCCATCCTTATTTTAAGGCATCTTAAAGTAATTCAAAGGCAATAAAACGCGATTAATAAATAAGTACTTGCATATACAATTTAAATATCTAATTACAGTAGAACTGCTTTTGAAGATAATTTAAATAATTTAAAATATTTTTCAGGATTTATTTGGGATATCATTAAATTGTAAATTAAAATAGATTTTCAGTTAATTGACCTTATGTTTCAGTAAATGTTTCAATTGATGTGAGACATTTGTAAATGTTTGTTTTGCCACTTAAGCATATTATATATAATATCAGTAAATTGTTTGACAGTAGGTGCTATTGTCCAGTTTAAGATATGAGTTTCAATTAGGATTATGGTAAGGACTGGAGTTACAGAATTAGAAATATATATTTTAATACCTAATTCAACACAATCCCTGTGTCACACACTTCCAACCTTATTGAATATATACACGACAAATAGATGTACTGTATGTCATTTAATGGAGAAATACTAGACAGAGCTATGAACGAATAAAACAACATTTATTGACCATCTAAAAGAAAGAAAGATTGATTTGCTGTCATTTTTCTGCAATCGGTTCTCATTAAATATCCCCCTGTATTATCAGTCGCAGCTGCACACGCCATAGGCATTCTCTTTCAACATAAGAAGGTTAACACGATCCATTTTTTCCATGTTCAGTCTACTTAATTTCCTAGAATAATGGCACCCATTTTTATGGCCTCTTGTTAAGAGCAACCTGTTATGTTAAGAGAAGACCTGTGCAATGAAGGACAAACCTGTGATTCTTACTGATGCAGACCATTTAGTTTGAACTGAGCTGTGTGTGGGATCATTGTCACATTGTAAAATAAACTAGCCAGGCACTATTTGCCTTCGGAAGGATGTTCTAAGGATAATGATATTATTTCTTTACAAGTGTTAACCCTGGAGCAGTCTACCCAATGGTGCTGTTGAAGCCAGTATTGTGGCTTCTTTCAAGAAACAGCTGGATGGGATAGATCCTCAGAGCAATTAGCTACTGGAAAGTTAATGATCTAGGTGGCCCAAATGGCTCCTCTTGTTTGTATTCTGATGTTTTTATGTTCCAGGTCTTCTTTTAGTAAAGGTTTAGTATAGTTTAAATAGTTTTGCTATTTAGGCGCTGACATACAGCCCTAAACCTTAATCTTATCAACTACATACCTTACGCATTGCAAAAATAACTGATTTATTTGGTTTTGCTTCATTCACATTTTCATTCTGGAACCAAAACATTAAATTCTGCTATAGTTTTCCCTGAACCAGTGCTCACACCACACCTTATAATTCAACAGACATTCTACACACTTTGATTTCTTTTATGAACTAAGATATTTCTGTATCTAACCTTATCATATCAGGATCCCAAAGATTTATGGCAATCCTCAATATTCTGACCCGAAGTATACTTTCTGGTCCGTGCGTTGTGTTTCAATAGTTACAAACTAGAGGGGGTCTGTTAGTACATCTAACTCAGAGATTCCTAGTCC